CTAAACCAAGACTAAACCAAGACTAAACCAAGACTAAACCAGGTCTAAACCAGGTCTAAACTAGGTCTAAACTAGGTCTAAACCAAGACTAAACCAGGACTAAACCAAGACTAAACCAGGACTAAACCAAGACTAAACCAGGACTAAACCAGGTCTAAACCAAGACTAAACCAGGACTAAACCAAGACTAAACCAGGACTAAACTAGGACTAAACCAAGACTAAACCAGGTCTAAACCAGGTCTAAACTAGGTCTAAACCAAGACTAAACCAGAACTAAACCAGATCTAAACCAGGTCTAAACTAGGTCTAAACCAAGACTAAACCAGAACTAAACCAAGACTAAACCAGGTCTAAACTAGGTCTAAACCAAGACTAAACCAGGTCTAAACTAGGTCTAAACCAAGACTAAACCAGGACTAAACCACAACTAAACCGGGACTAAAACCAGATCTAAACCAGTTAAGCCACTGTTATAAACTTGGACTCATATTTCTTGGGAAACAAAGGGTTAATATAATGGAATGGAAATGGACCAATCACAATTTATCTTCCAATGGAACGAAGTTTGAGATTGACAGTTGTCTTAACCAATCATATTTCATTGAGTTATGGGCGGGATCATATCACAAAATCTTCCGGACCTTCATGAATACCCTGTAATAGCGTTATGTAAGTGAGACTGCAGCGACAAAAACCACACTGGACACTTCGATTTGGATGCCTGGAAGAAGAAGAACAAAGAGAAAGACCCGTGTCCCGGTCGGAGCATCTCACGTGGTCAGATAAAAAGCGGAAAAAGTGCAAAGAAAAGACGTCAAACTTAAAGAAACGCACGCGGTGAACTTTTTCAAAATAAAAGCCAGTGAGAAACAGACACTTACAATAAAAACTAATTATAAAATAAAAGAAAAACTGTGTTAACGGCATTAAAATAATTGTTGGCGATAATGAATTAATGAGTTAAAGCAAAATGAACGCGTTAACGTGCCCGGCTCTAGTTTTAAGACGTACTGTGGAAGATTATAGCCAAAGGAACAAGGCCAAAGAAGAGTCAAGTTTGTGGAGATGCAAGCTCGCTCACGGTAACAACACATTTTCCCCAGTTTTTTAGTGCTATAAAAACACACACACGTTTTATTTTTATTTCACTGGGAGAGAGGGAGAGAGGGGAGTATAAGATAAATAGGATAAGATTTAAAAGTGTTTGTCTACAAATAACACAAATCTGGACTCTGGACTTGTTTTTGTTTTTTCCCTATGATTTTCACATAACTGTCATTATATTCTGTGTCATTTCTAACAAAATACTATAAATGAAGATCACTTTATGTTTTGCACCAATAATAACTCAGTATATATATATATATATATATATATATATATATATATATATATATATATATATATATATATATATATATATATATATATATATATATATATATATATAGACATGCACCAATACAATGTGTGTTTTTGTGAAGTTGGACATTTTAATTCCTTCTGGGTTAAAGGAGATGTTTTATATGTACAGGCTTAAACTGTTACTAAGCAACCATACCGTAAACAAGGGTCAAAGCTCAACTAACTGACAAAACAATTACAAGAAAACAGCTTTATTTAGTTAAATGAAGGTTTAAACTGTCAGAAAAGTTCTTCCTAAAGCAAAAGGGTAAACGGTCTCTGTAATTTGGCTGGAGTTTTTCCGTTGATGACATAAGCGGGGGGAGTTAGTTTTACAACTCAGAGCAGCTTTTTTATATTTTTGTACTTTTTTTTGCAAACTATTACTGAACTGATGTAAAACTATAATAAATACTGACCACACCTATTCACCAAATCAAGTTACAAAGCAGTTTGAGTCCACCTGTCTCCTAAAGCACGTCCGCTCCATATGCTCTCACACATACACACATGCACAAACACACTCATACACACACACATACATATTAGACTTCCCTCTTTTTAGGAGACATCACATTGATTTCCATTCATTTACTGGAGACGGATCTTTCCCTTGACCATAGTCACTACATAACCTTCCAGCGAGGTTCTATTTACTGAAAACATCGTATTAACATGTTCAAAACACAACACAATCCCAAGAATGAAACCACTGCACATCACATCAGGTTTGTCAAGTCTTATCGTACAGTTTTGTATCATGTTTTTGTATATTTATGGAGAATTGTGGTGTGGGAGTGTGGGTGATGTAGGTTTGTGGGTGGTGCACTGGAGAGAATCTTAGAGTAGAGTCCTGCAGTCCCGCGGGAGGTAGTGCAGTGCAGGAACACATTTTTAAAGATCATTGCGGTCGCAGGCTGGAGCAGGACTACACACTGTGGGAGCGAGTGGGTGAGTGTAAAGTAAAATATAGAAATTATTAATGTTTGCCTGTCATACAGAATTTGTGCTGGATGTTTTATTTGACATTAATAAAAACATTTTAGGCAGCCTAAACTTGCGGTTGTCTTCTAATCTCATGCACATTTTAGACAATTCCTTTCCACTTCTGTTTGATAGAGCTTAAGAAAGCAAAAGTCCCCATCTTGCGGAATTTGCAGGAGGAGAGCAGGACTGAAAATTACAATTCTTTGAGGGCAGGAGCAGGACTAAAAATTCTGACCTCTGTCTTACAGCTAAGTATAAGGAGGGTTCAAACAGGGGCCGGGTGAGATCTCTAAATTAATTGAACATCATGATGGGGGAACAGAGTTATAACATAGAAAGACATACAAAGCTCAAAAAAACAAATACTCCGTCTTTAACCTAAACCCTAATCACCGATTTAACTCTGACCTGAACTTGAAACCATGTTAATGATCAAATAATAAAAGATTTATGTCATGGACCTGATTTTTGTCCCCAGGAGAGACTCACACACACACACACACACACAGATACACACACACACACACACAGGGCATACCAGCACGCACTCAACAAGTGTGTGCTCTGTACGACAACTGTGCACAGACAGAACATTCCACACACACGTTTTCACTAATAGTTGAGAGTGGAACCACAGCTCGAACAAAACAAACACTTTTAGAATAGACAAACACTTTTTTCTATCCATCTTATTCCACCTCATCACTCGGGTTGTATTATTTTCTGTGGGGTCGATCTTGACAGCAAATAAATTCAATACGGAGCCGTTAAAGTCATTTTAAATCCCCCAGAGAATCAGTGCACTGTGACTTGTGGGTCACATGAAAATAGATCATTTTATACAAATGAACTTAATGTCAGATTTAACATGTTAAACTTTACACAAATTCTCCACTGACATGAATGAGATCCCTGGTTAATCAGAAGTGTCACCACAAAAAAGTGCAGTTCAGGTGTTTTAGAGACAAAAGTGAGCAGGTTGAATAAGGTGGATAGAGAAACATGTCCTCTGCATTTGACCCACCCTTCAATGAGCTAAACCTGTCTTGAGTCAGGACCGCCTCAGTTGGACAACTGTAGTGCATGTTTTGGGTTGATACGACAAACTGTGCCCAGAGGAAACCCACCCAGAAACAGCCTGGGAGTCAAACCTTCAACCTTCTGCTAACCACTCAGCCCTCATGCAGCCTTTAAAGATCATGTACATGTCTGGTATTTTTTTTACTTTATTCCAAACATTTGAATGAAGTGATTGTTTTGCTTTGCACAGCCTCCTGCTGCAGTGGATTCTCTATCAAACACACAAAGTAGCTTAAATGTTTTCAAATGAAACTCTTCAATAAAAAGTCTGTTTCTGTGCACACAGGAGAACGGTTTGTGCACAGCGTAAAAGCAGAGTGAGCTGCTCGCTCTGCTCACAGCTGTGGGTTTGAACAGGATCTTTTAGAAATACAAATGAAACATGAGGGAGAATAGATTTATAGATGATGCTCATGATATGTGCGTGTATGTGCGTGTATGTGTGTGTGTGTGTGTGTGTGTGTGTGTGTGTGTGTGTGTGTGTGTGTGTGTGTGCTGTTCCACATGAAGTCACATGACTGCACTCTGACATATGTTTGAGAAAATACGTTGTACTTTTTAAGAATAAATGCAGATCTTTATTGCCATGCTAATAGGACAGTACCTCACGATGCCCTGACACAGAACTGTGCAGCTTCTGTTTGAGCTTAAAGTGGCCGTGGGGAGAAGCAGCACCTCCTCACAGTAACTACGCCTGTTTTTACACAGATGTTGAGCAAGAACATGACATGTGTAACTAAATAACAGCAAAAGAGACAAATTAAACTTACAAAGTATACATTTATGGGAGGACAAACCTGCATTACATTACACACTGTACAAAATCATTCATAACAACATAAAATCCATTCACATCACTGCAGCATTTACAGCACACGAGCACTGAAGCACTGAAGGAGGGAAAACAGCACCATCTACAGGATGCACACTGCACTGTCACCACACACACACACAAACCTTGTCTTCTCACTCCTCATCTCCTCACTCCACATTTCCTCAAACCTCGTCTCCTCACTCCACATCTACTCACTCCACATCTCCTCACTTCTCAATCTTCGTCTCCTACGCACACACGTTCACACCACCTGCACCTACAGAGACTGAGAAAGCCTCCGGTCTGAACATCTCTGCTGTTATGAGACTTTGGGTTAGAACAGGCACTAGAGGAAGACAAGGAGGAAAAGGAGAGAGGAAGAGAGAGGAGGACTGAGCATGCACCAGGAGAAGGCTCGTGACCAAGCGTGTGACCCAGTGTGTGTGTGATCCACTGTGTGTGACCCACTGCATGACCCAGTATGTGACCCAGCAACAAGGAATGTGACATTGTGTGTGACCCAGTGTGTGTGTGACCCAGTGTGTGTGTGACCCAGTGTGTGTGTGACCCAGTGTGTGTGACCCAGTGTCTGACACAGCAACAGGGCATGTGACCCAGTGTTTGAGCCAGTGTGTGTAACAGTGTGTGTGACCAAGCGTTTGATCCACACAGTGTGTGTGACCCAGCATTTGACCCAGTGGGCTGGGACTTACCGAGGATGGGTGCCAGGCGGAAGATGTCGGACAGGCGGCTGTTCACAGGTTCATAGGGAGAGTCCTCCAGGAAGTCGTTCCCTGAAACAGAAGTGTGAGGTGTAATCAGAGTAGTAACAGAGTATTCTCAAGTCCTGAACAAAAGTTTAAAAAGGAGGTATTATGCAAAAGTGATTGAATAAATATGCTTTCTTGTTATAACATCCCTCATCAAAAACATGCCTGAAGAGGTTTCATGTCTTCCATGCATGTTTGAGTAATCTAGTGATCTCTTTTTTTAAACTCTACTTACAGTTAGCAGTATGTCTACAAGCCCACATCACCTGCCACAGGGACATTTTTCATAAATACATAAAAGCAGGATACTAAACAATACACTACAACTTCACAGACCAGAGACTGCAGTAGTTTCATTGCTGGATACACACTGATTGTGTAGTGATAACGCTCTGAAGGGGGAGTGACTTTTTCACATTATAATAAGCTGTTTTCAGCACATTTCATCAAAACAATAGAAGGTAACAAGATGATCTGAACATGTTCTGTGTTAGCTCCTCTTTAACATCAAGTTAAATCTATAAATATCTTCAAGTACAATGTCATCCTGGCTTCTCAGTAAACACGCTGCAGTGGAGAGCAGCAGGTCTGCAGCGCTGGTCATTGGGCGTCTGATGGTTTAACCCAGATGTGCACACATTTATAATCAATATAGTCAATTGTAGGAGAGTGAATGAGGTGTGGCTTCTCACTGGTCCCAGAGCTCACAACTGAACTATCTCTATGGAGCAGTGGGAGGGATTGGGACATGAGGAAAATGTGTGACTTAAACTGTTAATAACATATGATGTATTCTGGTTCATATTTTTCTATTTTCTGATCTCTGTTATAATGTTTCCTCATCACAAACAGACCTGAAGTTGTGTTTTGTTTCATTCATACATGTTTAACACACAAATCCTGCACATTTAGGCTGTGTTCTTCAGAAAACACTGTTCCACCTTATGATGTCATGTGTTAATACAGGAAGTACACCACTGTGTTTTTAAAATCCATACATCTTCACTAGAATCATTTGGATAAATTAAGACCTTGAATTGCTGAATCTCTGCTGAACTAAAGATAAAAGGAGCTGTTCCATTGAAAACTACACACAACATGACATCACAAGGTGGAACAGAGCATTTTGAGCTTTGGAAATGTAGATGGACTAATAATGCAGGATTACTCAAACATGTGAATGAAACAAAACACAAATAAACACAACTCCAGGTGTTTTTGATGATGTAACAGCTTTCTAAATGCATTCACGTATATGTGGCAGGAAATGTGGCAAAAGAACTTCCAGAGGAAACACTGAGACCTTCCAGAGGAAATACTTTGAGGTAATTAACCATTTCATCACCAACTGAAACAAAGGAACAGAGTGTGAACAAAGTTGCTGAGAAACAAGTTAGGTCCTAAATCAGAATCGTAAAGGATTGTGTAGTGTACGACAAGCTCAAGAATGGACCAACTGATTAATCCATTTTTCAAAGAGTTTTGGTCCATTTTGTTACAAGAAAACTTCATCTTTTTGTCACCACTGTCCAGTCTACATCTGCATGTGTAGTAGTTGCTGTTTGTTTACCCCATGCCTGGCCCTCACGCTGGCCCCCATGTGACACACTCTATTTGGGTCAGTCGATTTCCTCCCCGGCCCCCACGCCTGATTAAGCAGGCCGCTCAGCTAGGAAAGCCACCCCCTCTCCCCCCTCTCACCCCCCACCCCTCCTCCCCCACTCGCTATGGTGACCACTGGAAGACAGGCTAACCGGAGCGAAGACCTCTCACGCCCCATCAGCCACACGCAGCGCCGTAGAGGAGGAGGAGGTCACCAACACACCACCAATTTGGACGAGTTTGTTTGCGTCGCCGGCGGACAGTCACGGAGAGAGATCAGATACTGTGGGTATATGAGTGTTGTGGGTGGGGTCAAGTGCCAGAGGGGGTAAGGGATGGGGTTAAAAGTGGGGCAGTGGGAGGAGCTGAAAATGACACCCAAAACAAATAAATATTGATTTCATTCCCGTCATCCAAAGCTGAAAGTTTGAAATTCCCTTTATTTGTACCACTACTTTGTACTTCAACTGGAGCAATTATTATCTTGAAATACCTCAAGTCCATTTTTGGCTCCTCTACCCTCTCAGTGTAAGTGTGAGCCATAACCTTAATAAAGCATGACCAAAGACTTCATTTAGAATGAACAAATGCTTTATTAGAATGACTTAATAACCACTTAAAGCAACACTGTGTAACTTCCAGGCGGTCAAGGAAGCCAAAAGAAGAGGCCTAGAGGCCAAAAGAGTCAGGTTTATGGAGATGCAAGGCAATCACAGTAAGGATGTTCTCAGTGTAAAAACAATAACCTAACAACATTTTTAACTGTAGTCTATTTTTTGGGCTAAAAAGTTACATGGTGGTGCTTTAATTAAAGGGTTTGGGGTTTTGAAGCCTGAATCTGTATAAATGATCTGTGCCTCATGAAAGGTCCTGCACCTGATTTTGTCTCATGTATTTGAGTAAAATGTGTCCTGCCCCAGGACAAATACAGTGTATAAACAGCTCCTGAGGTCAAAATACGTCTGCTAGTCTAAAGCCTTTTATTGTTCTGAATCATCAGGAAGTGCATGTTAGCATGCAAGCTGCAATCCTAACACACACCAGGATGCTTTGACACGCTGTCACTCTAACACACATACACACACCCACACACTGTAAACAGTGCACAGAGAGACACAGAGACACAGAGACATTGGGAGACAGAGGTGCAGAGAGACAGCACTTCCACTCTGTGCAGAGAAAGTGGAGTGTGTCAGTAAAGTGGCTGTAGCTGGAGCTCGTGCTCACAGCAGCTCCTCTGCTCTGCTCTCACTCTCACTGTGTCAGTTTAGAAGTGTGTGTAGAGAAAACTCCTCCTTACAGCACCACACCTCAGACGTGTGGAAAGATTCTCAAGAGCTCACATGCCCCGGGATCAGTGTGTGCACTTTATGATTAAAAGTGTGTGTATGTACATGTCTGTGTGTACCTTGCAGTGTCTGGTAGATTCCCCAGGAGATGTATGTGTGTGTGTGTGTGTGTCTTTGCGTACGTGTGTGTATATGTGTGTGTGTGTGTGTGTGTGTACGTGTGTGTGTATGTGTGTGTGTGTACGTGTGTGTGTGTGTATGTGTGTGCATACATGTGTGTGTGTGTGTAGGGGTGTGTGTGTGTGTGTGCGTACATGTGTGTGGGTGTAAGGGTGTGTGTGTGTGTGTGTACATGTGTCTGTGTGTGTACATGTGTGTGTGTGTGTGTGCGTGCGTGTGTGTGTGTCTGTACATGTGTGTGTGTGCGTACATGTGTGTGTGTGTAGGGGTGTGTGTGTGTGTGCGTACATGTGTGTGTGTACATGTGTGTGTGTGTGTGTGTGTGTGTGTGTACATGTGTGTGTGTGCGTACATGTGTGTGTGTGTGTGTGTGTGTGTGTCTGTACATGTATGTGTGTGCGTACATGTGTGTGTGTGTAGGGGTGTGTGTGTGTGTGCGTACATGTGTGTGTGTACGTGTGTGTGTGTGTGTGTGTACATGTGTGTGTGTGCGTACATGTGTGTGTGTATGTGTGTGTGTGTACGTGTGTGTGTATGTGTGTGTGTGTGTGTGTGTTGTGTGTGTGTGTACATGTGTGTGTGTGTGTGTGTGTGTGTGTGCGTACATGTGTGTGTGTGTAAGGGTGTGTGTGTGTGTACATGTGTGTGTGTGTGTACAGTGTGTGTGTGTGTGTGTATGTGTGTGTACGTGTGTGTGTGTGTGTGTGTGTGTGTGTGTGTGTGTACATGTGTGTGTGTGTGTGTGTGTGTGTGTGTGTGTACATGTGTGTTGTGTACATGTGTGTGTGTGTGTGTGTGTGTGTGTGTGTGTGTGTGTGTGTGTGTGTGTGTTGTGTGTGTGTGTGTGTGTGTGTGTGTGTGTGTACATGTGTGTGTGTGTGTGTACATGTGTGTGTGTGTGTGTGTGTGTGTACATGTGTGTGTGTGTGTGTGTGTGCGTACATGTGTGTGTGTGTGTGTGTGTGTGTGTGTGTGTACATGTGTGTGTGTGTACGTGTGTGTGTGTGTGCGTACATGTGTGTGTGTGTGTGTGTGTGTGTGTGTGTGTGTGTGTGCGTACATGTGTGTGTGTGCAGGGGTGTGTGTGTGCGTGCGTACATGGGTAATGGTAAAATGGTAAATGGTCACATTTTTCTACAGCGCTTTTCCACCTTCAAGGCACTCAAAGTGCTTTACAACAAGGAACCACTCACCAGTGTACACAGACACTGTGGGCAAGGTGGGTTAAGTGTCTTGCCCAAGGACACATTGACAGCATTCATTTGTGGGAGCTGGAATCACACCAGCCAAACTGTGGGTCAGTGGATCTGACCACTCAACCTGTGATGTTTATGTCGAGAGCTGGATTCGAACCGCCAACCTTCAGATCAGTGGGCGAATGCTCTACCAACTGAGCTACTGCCGCCGTGTGTGTGTGTAGGGGTGTGTGTGTGTGTGCGTACATGTGTGTGTGTGTAGGGGTGTGTGTGTACCTTGCAGAGTCTGGTAGATTCCCCAGTAGATGCGCAGACAGTTCTTCTCTTTCTTCATCCCTCTCTTGCAGCGGCAGTTGTACAGGGGGCTCTGTTTGAGGGCGTCGATGGCGGCGCGGCACTCGTCTTTACCCTCCAGAGACGGGCCCAGGCTGGGGTTGGCGTCTTTACCCCCAGACACACACTGTCTCATGGTGCGGTACTTGGAGCTGCAGGCCGGCTCCCTCAGACACTGCTCACTGGCCCTCACACAGTCCACACGAGGAGAGGGCGAGCGCGGGGGGTCCGACGCCACACACAGGACCACTGCACACGGACAGTACTGTCATTACTTATCATGCAGCAGATGAAATATTTCTAGTTATTTTGGAGCTCAATAGACATTTTCTTCGCAATAGTGAGAGATTTTGATGCACTCAGGTCAGACTCGAGCTATAAACGAGATGAAATCAGTTATATTGCTCATTATTGGTTAATTCTGCAAGTTATTTGTTGTCAGTGCTATAAACCCTCTTCTACCAATGAGCTTTCAGCCTCCTGAAAGTTTTTTACTTCAGTTATTTTGAGTTTATTTTTTGTTTACTGCAGTAAACAAGTGTCATTCATAGATTTAATGCTTCAGTGACAATCTACAGTGTAAATAATCATGAAAATAAACAAAAACAAAAATCTTTTTTTTTTCATTCTCATTACTGTTTATTTTGTACGATCATAAACTATAAACATTGTGTCTACGATAACATTATTATTAGTTTGTATGACCATAAACAAAAATATGTTTCTGCGTGTGTATATGTGTGTTATTTATATGTGTATAAACATTTATACTGAATATATATACTGATATCTATGATGTGTATATGTATGTATGTATGTATGTTTGTATGTGTGGATATGTTTTTGTATATATGTGCGTATATTTCTGCACATGACAGGTAAGCACTCCAAAGGTGATTAAAAAAAAAGTGAACCAGGTGATTATGTAAAACAGTTGAGGTCTCTATAAGTTTTTTTTTTTATTTATTCTACTCTTTTTGAGCACCAGGTCCCAAATATGTTCATGTACACATCACTATTTTTGTTATTGTTTTTGAATTTTGTTTATACCTAACTCAAACAGATACATGAAATGAAATGAAGAAAAAAATCATGAATGAAAAAGTGTGTCCAAACTTTTGATTGGTATAGTTTTATATCTACAACATTATGATACTTTTACAGATTTTTGAGCCTTATTGCACACTTCTTCTTTTTTGCTGCCTTAAAGGGCCTGTACTTGACGTCTGCATTTAATTATAAAGCATTTTATTGTCAATCCTCACCAGCCCTCCGCCGAGTGCCACATTCACATTAAACACGATGGTCAAGTGTCTTGCCTAAGAACACAACAACAGTTTCTACTAGAGCCATCACTGCTCCAGAGTGGCACCTGCCGTTCTCAGCGCTCTCCCATCCAAGCACCAACCAGACTCTGTCCTGTTACCAAAAGAGATGTGAGCAGATGAGGCTTTGACAGGGAAGTCTGGACGTTTACATCATAAATACATCCAGGTCAAACTACAGGGTGAACCACTTTTACACACTCTGTCCCCACAGAGACACAGGGAGGGCATCTGACACACAGGAACATATGTCAATCAGTCCGAAGTGAACTACTATTGCAACTGTAACTCCAGTAGTGTTAAAGTGCATGTGACAGATGAGCATGCACGATAAACAGCAGCATATCTGACCAGAACTCTTCCAGTTTTTTTGTTTTGTGGTGGGTTGAAGTTTGTTATTTGGTTCCTGGTTGGACACGGGCAACAGATGTGACATATGTAGAGGTAATTCCAGAACTGTTACCTAGCAACCATAATGTTAACAAGGGCCAAACATCTCTAAATTACTAGGGATGTAAAAATATCCACATTTCTCAGTACAGTATTTTCATGATATGTATCTCACAGTACGATATTTACTGAGATATTTTGCAGAAACTAACACAACTGTGAATATTCTACTTTTCTGTCATAATCCAAATAATTAAGATTTAAAAGTGCTTAATAGCAGTTGTTTTATCATGTAGATTGGATGAAAACAGAGCAAAGGATCATGGTCTGTGTAGTTCTGTCTGTTTTTAAGACGTTGCTGCACTATAATAATAATGCATCAGTTTTATACAGTGTTTTTTTGGACACTCAGACGCTTTACAGATCATTATTCATTCACTCCAGACCCGGTGGTGGTAAGACACTACTGTAGCCACAGCTGCCCTGGGGCAGACTGACAGAAGTGAGGCTGCCAATCTGCACCATCAACCACCTCTGACCACCACCAACACTCAAATACACACCACTTTCATACTAGGCAATGAGGGTGAATTGTCTTGCCTAAGGACACAGTGTCAGCTTTTTACAACTGAAGCCCCACTGCAGCACCTGATTTTCCCAGTGTCTCCCATCCAAGTACTGACCAGGACCTGCTGAGCTGATCTGACAGGATCAGACTTTGACAAGTTGGTATGGCCACAAATAACAATAATAACAATGAATTTAAGCAAAGAAACTTGTAATTTGATATACTGTGACAGCCCACGATATCACAATATTTTGGTTATTGTTACATTGATATAAATTATAAATGAGTTATGACTAATTAAAAGTAAATGACATTATTTCTTCTTTTCTTCAATCAGTTTTAATCTGGTATATTTTGTGTATACATTGTCCCTGCATTTTGGATCGGATTTTCCATTTGTCATGTAAAACTATGATGAATATTTACTTCAGGTGCTACTTCAAACTCGATTTTCGATGGCCTACTAAATGGAGTTTGAAATAGTACCTGGTATCAGGTTCTGGAATATACCGATACTCGATACTGATTCCGATATCACAATGATAAAAAAAAATAATAATAATAATAATAATTCTTTAGACAATAAAATGTGATTTTCCACATTAAATGGCTGAACATCCTTTTCTGTTCCATGTGTGTTCTATGTGTGTGATGGTCAGTGGTGCAGTAGGTTCATGTTGGTCCATGTGTGGATACTAGTCTATGTGCTCTGACACTTGTTCTGATACACCTCAACATCATTCTAAAGCAGTGGTGTCCTTTTTTCATCAAGGGCCACATATGTAAACACAGATGAAGCAGAGGGCTGATCGAAGGCCGTAGACTGATGCTCAATACAGTGAATAATTGTAATATGTTGCATGTTTAACACTTTAGAATGAACCATCAGACTTTATTCACGCTAAGATCCTCAAAACCACACATTAAATATTAAATATTGGGCTTTATCAAGGTAGACTTTCAAAAAACTTGCAGTAAAAAGTAAAATTTTAATTGATGCAAGGTCATTTGGGCCAATTCTCCTGGAAGCCTGAGGGCCAAGAAAAATGTGTCTCAGAGCCGCATTTGGCCCACGGGCCGTAATTTGGACATGACTGTTCTAAAGACATTCTGCAAAGATTCATTTCTGTCCTGTCAATGGGACTTTTTAGTATCAATACCTCCTCAAATGAATATCTAGTTCCGATATTATTTTTAGTATGAGTTAGTATATGATTCTAGATACTTTTGACAACCTGAGTCCCACCAAACCAAACCAAAGTCATAATTAAAAAAACATGCAAACCTCCATATGAACTTTAACATTTGACTTAAACCAGAACAGCTAAACTAACACAAGAATCACATTTATTATGTTTGTAAAGATCTAAACTACAGGGTTAACAGCTTCTGCAAACAATAAAACCCCACGGAGCCACATGGAGGGCATCTGACACACGGGAGGGCATCTGACACATGGGAGGGCATCTGACACACGGGAGGGCATCTGACACACGGGAAGGGCATCTGACACACAGGGAGGGCATCTGACACACATGAAGATTCCAGAAGCTGTTTGTAGAGGACTAAACTCCAGGTACATGATGTTCCTATTGAAATAAAGGGCTGTGTGCGATATTGAACAGCGCTAAATGGACTTGTTCAAACAGTAATGGTCGTGTTTTCTCCTCCGTCTCTCCTTCTCTTCTCTTTCTGTCATTCAGAGTCTTACATTTACAGTACTTTTAGCACCGTTGCCATGGTGATTGACAATTCAAAACAAAAAGTTATACCTTTGGAATGGGCAAATGTCCTCAAACAATTACCTCTAACAGGAATCCTACAATCGAATGAAGAGACGAGTATTTGAAGAGTAAGTTTGTTCAGGCCTCCACTCGCTCACCTCATAGAAACATTCGACACTTTGTTTTGGCCATAAACTATCATTTACTTATTTAAATTTTGTTTATATTTTTAAAGCTTATTCTGACTTTTCAGAGCTCATCCATGTTATTGTTAGTTTGTTATTTAGTTAGTTAGTTTGTTTTTCCCTTTTCATTTATGCTCTCAAAGTTGTATTTGGAGTGATTTGTGTATGTTTCAGAATTTTTGAATCACTTATTTCAAAACTCCATTTTGCCGATCAACTCCCGTTTTCACTTCCACCGGTTCACGCCCACTGTGACGTACACACTGCCTTCTCCAGTTCGATTTTCTTAATCAATAATACATGTAGGAGTCGGCAGCGTTGTGTAGTCATTTTCAAACAAATGAAAAAAAAAATAAAATAAAATAAATATTTTGTGATGATTATCATTTAAAGCAGACCTACTGTGCTTGAGTGTGCTCTATAGTTTTAGTCTATGACCCCTGTGGATCATTATATTATGATTAGAACATAAACGTTAATTCACAATATTGATCTAAAACGACTTAATAAAAGAAACAAGTGAAGTAGAAAACTGTGGTGTCCATTGGGAGCTGTCGTGGCCGTAAACGTCTTCAGAGCAAAGCGCCGCATGTTGTGGACTCGTCCTGTGTAGAGCTGCATGTCACACAGAGCAGAGCAGTTTGGTTTCATTTTGTACCAAAATGACTACACAGCGCTGCCGATTTCTGTGTGTACGTCACAGTGGGCGTGAACCGGTGCAGCTGAAAACAGTGTAGATCAGAGCGATGACGTGTTGAATACAGGAGAATAAAGATGACTCAAACATGAATGAATCACTCTAAATACAACTTCAGATAATAACGAGGATTTACATTTTATTTTGCACAGTAAGTCCCCTTTAAAAAAAAAAAAAAAACTTCTCTTCCAGACACTTGGATGCATAAAATTGTACATAAACATTTATACAACAAAACCAACACTCACGTCCTCTTTAGAACAGAGCGTTGCTCAAAGGCACGAGTACAGACTTGACTTTAACCTGGTCAGGATGTGTCACCTGTGGCCTTCAGAGTGACCAGCTCTCAGTGTTTCAGTGATTACTCTTGTAACTATGTGACAATCCTCCTGAGCGAGTCTCCAGGACAGCAGGGACATGTCACTCTCTGGTCGTGGCGTGTCACCTGCATGATTCCATGGAAACAAAACGGTAAAACCACACTCTGGGACATTTTCAGTGGAGACAGATGAGTATTATGTGAACAAAAGAGAGATGAGAGTCAGGTTTGTGGAGATGCAAGTCCGCTCACAGTAACAACGCGTGTTTCCTACATGTTTCACTGCAATAAAAATCCAACCAAACGGATTTAATAAATACAAAAGGAGGAGCTGGAGGAAGTGTCTGGGGGGGAGGAAGTCTGTTAGTCCCTGCTTAGACTGATGCCCCCGCGACCCGGCCCCGGATAAGAGGAAGAAAATGGAAATATGGATGGACAAAAATAAAATATAAACAAAAAATATGTAATATTTGTTTTTGTATATTTTTGTCTAAAAAGTGTCATAGTTTGTCTTTAATATAGTCTCCTAATTCTTTACATTTATGTATATTTATGTGTCTGATATAAAACAGCTCAGGCTGCAGTAAATCATACTGGAAGAACAACAGAAAGCACGTATATGACTTAAAGGGACACTGCGTAACTTTTCCGAAGGACGGTGCACCACCTGCCATAGAACTGCATTAAATTCACAAATTAGATTAGAGACTAATCTAATCAAGACTAAAGGTCAAATGACAGGTCAGATCTGTGGAGAGGGGAACCCGCTCTGTAAGAATGCAGTTTCTAAAATGGCAAAAAAAAAAAAAAAAAAAAAAAAAAAAACATAAAACATCCAAGGTGGAGGTAAAGTTACGTGGTGAGCCTTTAACAGAAGGATTCCATTCGTGCACTTTCTCAAAGCTGCTCATTTCACAGTTTAGTCCAGCTCCGTAACAACTAAAGCCGAACTGCGTAACTTTATCGGGATTGCGTTATGGCACGGTTCGTACACTAACGATCCGAGCGCTCGATAGACCCGCTCAGAGAGGGCACGTGCGAGGGGCAGGCAGCGGGCGCGAAGAGCCTGGCACCCGGGAGGAGAGCGCGCTCTGCCCCGGCACAGTCCGCGGAGCTCGGGGAGGTCTGGAGCAGAGAAAGCGCCGGAGTGATTTTACCTTTTTGTGTTTGAAGTGAAAGAAGTGCTCGTTTTGAAGAGTCACTTTTATACGTTTTAGTGATTTGAGGCTCGTTTAGTCTTTATTGTGTAGTTCTGTCAAAATGTTGATTTAAACCTGACCTCGTCCTTGTTTAGTTTGCCATTTAAGACCGATTTTAGTCCTGATTTAGACCAATTTAAATCCTGATACGTACTCGTTAAATTCTGGTAAAGTTCTGGTTTAGACTTGGACTATTCCTTTTCACTTGATCCTGGTTTAGTCCTAGATTATCCCAGACTAGTCCTGGTTTAGTCCTGGTTTAGTTCTGATCAAATTTGAGCTCGTATTTGTGTTAGTCTGGTAAATTGTTTGTTGCTTTTGTTAGACACGGTTTACAATTTCACCCCTGGATTCATTATTATTGTTAATATTATGGTTAATAAACTTACCCAGAAGCGGCAGTCCGGCGTAAACCGCTGCGTACACCATCGTCCTTCTCTCCATGCGCAACAAAACACAATTCTCAAACTCAAAAGTGTCTTAAAAACCGTTATAATCCCCACACGAGCACTTCTCCCAATGCGGTACAATCCATCGAAAAGAACCAGCAACCCGCGCTCCGCTCCACTCCGGCAAACCGCGTCCTTTAGTCCCGAAAAGTGCCACAAAATCCACGTATATGCTCCGTGAATCGGTAAGCGGGCTTGTTTCTCTGGCTTCTCCCGGCGCGCTGCAGTCCTGTCCGCGGGATGTGGGCTCGGGGAGACTCGGGACCGGCGCGGTGCTTCCTCTTGCGCGTGTGCGTCCTGACCAAATGGATGGCACTGCTGCTCTGGCGCGCGAGTTAGACTGGCTCCTCTCTCCTGCGCTCACCCCACGCGGCGCTGCTGGAGCCACGGACACTTCACCGCCGCGAAGCCTGCGGAAGAATGCCCAAATGTGCTGAGCTGGCACGGGAGACGGCGCACGGGTTACGCAGCGCACTGTCCTTTTGCTCTTCACCTATCAGCCAGTAGTTTATAACAGGATAACGATCGCTTCAACTATTTGCTTCAAAATGACACACCTCTTTTAGTTTAGTCTTGTTTTAGTCCTTCACTGGGTTTATAGATGAGTTTAGTCCTGCTTAGAATGGTTCAGTAAGTAGGTAAAAATCTGGGCCTATAGGTTAAAGGTCCTATAATAAACACAACTGACTCTACATGCTGGAATGTTGTTACTTTATCAAAAACACACGTGGAGTTGTGTTTTGTTTCCTTCCTTCACGCAGTAAATCATTTATTATGAGTCTGTGTACTTCCTCAAAGCTCAAAATGCTCTGTTCCACCCTGTGATGTCATGTAATGATACTTTTACCAATTATTCTTAGTAGAGACTGACAATTTCAGGGGTGGAAATTACGCAGATGAATGTGCGTGGAGTTTAAAAACACAAAGGAGCAGATGACATCACAAATTGGACCATTGTTAGTTTGGTTGAAGAACTGGGACTAAATGTGTAGGTTTTGTGTGTTAAACATGTATGAATGAAACAAAAACACAACTCCAGGTCTGTTTATGATGAGGAAACAACAAATCAGATATAGACTTGGATTAGTTCTGGTTTAGAGCCAGAATCTTTTCAGAATTTGGTCTAAATTTAGTCCCAGTTTTGGTGTGGTTTATGTAAGTGTGAAGTGTGCTTTTAACCTGGCAGAAACCTGGTTTAGTTCTGGTCTAGTCCTGGTTTAGTCCTGCGTTGGGTTGGTGTTCTACATTCTGTGCCAACACGCGTAAAATCACATTCTAAATTTACTCAAGCAGAAAACCTTTTCCGTGTGCTTCATTTCAAATCTTCTCTCACTTTTCACTTTCCCAAACTTCCCCAGCTCCCTCACCCACCGCCCAAACACGGATTTAACAAACTTTTTAAGCGGCGTAACCGGACGCACAGACGTGAGCGCAGTTCACACCGCGCGTGGGCCGGCGCTACGTTGCAGCGTGACGGGGAGAGGGCAAAGAGCGCGCCAGGTTTACGCGAGCTGCCAACACAACGCGCTCCTGCCCACGCGTGGATCGGCAGCGCGCAGCCCGAGGAAGGAGTCTCAAACGCGGGTGTGCGGTCCGCCGGCGCACGCAAGCCGGATCTGTGTTAATACCTTCACTGTCTGGTGATAGTCTGAATGATTTAGAGTCGGATGCCCTGGTTATGTTCTTGTAGACCTGGTTTCGACCTGGCTTAGTCCTAATGAGTCATAAGTCACGTAGCCTTTGTCCCGGCCTATAAATTCTTGGATAATCTTTTATGGAGCATTTAAGACCTGATGTAGTCTTTCTTTGGAACTCCTCATGCGTCATTAGACTAGACAAACTTTATTGATCTCTGATATATCGGAAATAAACTAATAAATACATAATTATATAAATACAGAGATAAACTCTATAGGTCTACATGAGGTGGTGGAACAGGGTTGAAGGTTAGGCCAGGGTTAGTCCTCTTTCAGTCCTGGTTTAGTCCTGATCCCGCAGCTCCTCGTGTGAGATGTTCTGGAGACAGTAGTGGGACAGGAGCATGGCACCGCGCGCTCTCAGAGGCTGTTCCGCCGCGTACGAGCTCACACGGACCGCTGGGTAACTGGCGCCATCTACCGGGGCTCTGAGGAACGACCCGAGCTGGAGAAAAGAACGTGAGTGGTTCAAATGACTAACAAAACCAAGACTGTGATCTAATGAAGTGCAGATCTTTTCATAGTCTGTGTAGAAACGTCATGATCTCAGGTAGTGAAGGTTATAATGTGTTTTAAAACATGAGTGTGATGACAGTGCATGGATGAAGCCACTACTTTGTTATATTATCTCAATAGTCTAATATTACAATCTGTCCCTGGTTCTGACCTGGTTTATTCTTGTTTTAGTCCAGATGTGTCAGATTCAGGCCCGGGGGCAAAATTTGGCTCAATATATAATTATATTTGGCCCACGACATCATATCAAATATGTATTAAGCTGCTCACCGGCTGCTGCGCCAGTATGACACATGCACCTCTAATACTACGACTACTACTACTACTACTAATACTACTACTACAAATACTACTACTACTACTACTACGACAAATACTACTACTACTACTACTACTACTACTACTACAAATACTACTATTACTACTACTACTACTACTACTACTTATACTACTTATACTACTACTACTAATACTATTACTACTACTACTACTTATACTACTAATACTAATACTACTAACACTAATACTACTTATACTACTACTACTAATACTACTGACTACTACTACTACTACTACTACTTATACTACTACTATTAATACTACTTATACTACTAATACTACTGCTACTAATACTACTACTTATACTGCTACTACTAATACTACTACTTATACTACTACTACTAATACTACTACTACTAATACTACTACTTATACTACTACTACTAATACTACTACTACTTATACTACTTATACTACTACTAATAATAGTACTTTGATAAACTTGTATCTAAGAAGAGGTGCCAAGTATCTGCTTTGGATCCATGTGCATCAGAGTAAATCACAGTGTAGCAAACTGAGCTTGGATGAATGTTTTCTTTATGATTTTTGACTTTTCTGTATTGACCATAGTTGAAAGACTGGATTTTCATTGAAGCAAGTTGTTATTTTTGACTGGTTGTTGGCTTGTAAAAAATAAATAAATAAATAAATAAATAATAAATACATAAATAATAAATACATAAATAAAAATAGTTCAACAGCTACAGATAGGCTAATGCGACAAAAAAAAAACCCAAAAAAGTTATTTTATATTCTGCTTGTTGGGGATTCAGTGTTTAAGCAACATTATTATTAAAGATTTATTTGAATAAGAAAAGTCTTTACATAGACAGAGACAAAGACATGACATATCTTGATGTTGTTGAAATTTTTCAATAAATATTTAGTTTAGCCCATGACTTAGTCCCAGTTTTTCCTTTTGGCCTCTGTGAATTTGAGTTCAACACTCCTGTTTTGGTCCCACATTGGGTTTATAGTTCAGGTTTCTCCTGTTGAAGTACACAGTATATACAGTAAGTTCTGGTTTAGTCTTGGTTTTGTCCTGGTAAAATCATTTCAGGTGCATTCACATTTTTTCTTTACTGCGTTCTGGTTTAGTCCTGGTCTAGTCCAGGATTATTTTCTGTGGTTTATGTGCAAGTTTGTGGTGCACCACAAATTTGCACAACTTGCACAAACCACAGTGTTGCCTCGTATGAAAGTGAAGGAATAATGCTCTGTAAAGTGTCTCTGAGTGTCCAGAAAAGTGCTGAATAAAACCAATGCATTATTATTATTATTATTATTATTATTATTATTATTATTATTATTATTATTATTATTATTAATTGTGAGCCCACTCTAAGACCTGACAGATAGTGGATCTAGACCTGGTCTCCCTTTGCTCCTCACACTGAGTCACTCCCCCATCAGAGTTATATAATAACACCACAACACAATCAGCGTGCATCCCACTAATGAAACGACTGCACATCACATCAGCTTTGTCGAGTTACTGGCTACAGTTTTGTATCATGTTTTTGTGTATTTATGCAGAATTGTCGTGTGGGAGTGTGGGTGACATAGTCTGGTGGGCGGAGCCTTGTACAGGATCTTACCGCTAATTGTAAGGAGGGTTCAAATACATGCATCACGAATTTTGGACTTCCGGTCATTGCACAGTGAATACTTGGATTGGATTTTCCAAAAAAGTGAGCATCAAACCTCCATTTATGTCTTCCCAGTGGGATGTGTCTATTGACAAAGTCGATCTTCCATCCATCCATCCATTTTCTTCCGGGGCCGGGTCACGGGGGGCAGCAGCCTAAGCAGAGACTTCCAGACTTCCTCCACCCCAGACACTTCCTCCAGCTCCTCTGGGGAAACCCCGAGGTGTTCCCAAGCCAGCCGGGAGACATCCAGTGTGTCCTGGGTCTTCCCCAGGGGCCTCCTCCCGATGGGACATGCCCGGAACACCTCCCGAGGGAGGCGCCCAGGAGGCATCCGGAACAGATGCCCGAGCCACCTCAACTGGCTCCTCTCGACGTGGAGGAGCAACGGCTCTACTCTGAGCTCGTCTCGTGTGACTGAGCTCCTCACCCTATCTCTAAGGGAGCACCCAGCCACCCTGCGGAGGAAACTCATTTCGAGAGCTTGTATCCACAATCTTGTCCTTTCGGTCATTACCCAGAGCTCATGACCATAGGTGAGAGTAGGAACAAAGACTGACCGGTAAATCGAGAGCTTCGCCTTTCGGCTCAGCTCCTTCTTCACCACAACGGTCCGATACAGCGACCGCATCACTGCAGACGATGCACTGATCCACCTGTCAATCTCATGCTCCGTCCTTCCCTCACTCGTGAACAAGACCCCGAGATACTTGAACTTCTCCACTTGAGGCAAAGACTCTCCACCCACCTAGAGAGGGCAAGCCACCTTTTTCCGGTCGAGAACCATGGCCTCGGACTTGG